AATATGAACCATAATCTCTCAATAGTGTTAATAAGTTGCTTCAAGGACAAGTTCATGCTTTTCTTAAACATGTATTCTTTGATCCATGATACTTGAAGAATCATTTTTGCATTTTTCCTATCTATTATTGGATACTATAATTGAATGTTTCATATGATAACATAGCCATTAAATAATCACATGGAAAAAAGCATATTAGTATTATCTAATACTTGGAGTTGCTATCATATTGATTTTAATTCCTTCATTTTTTTTCTGTAACCCACCATAAAAAACACACATCTTCATGCAACCATATCTTATTCTCCCATGGCACAAAGCGAAATGCATTCTTTTCTGACATTAAATCTTCCACACAAACTACAAATTCCCTTCGTTGCCACTTGCTGCAGAATTTGGCATTATTACTTGTCTCCCTTTTTCCCTGGACCCTCCCTCTCTCTCCTGACTGCTTCCTCCTCCTCTGCTTACTTCCCCCCCTTGCAAAAACTACCCTCTTCCTGCCTTCCTCTCAAACTGTATGTTTTTTATTTATTCTTTCATTCTTAGATTATTCAAGACTCAATGGATATCTGCATCCCTTAGTTACTCCTCAACACACAAACACTCTACAGTAGATGTTTACATGAAGGCATTAATGCCTGTCTAAGAACCAGAACAAGCTTCCTCATTCCAGCACACCAGCTAGTTGGCAATGTAGCATTTGGCAGCATCTGCTACATACACTTACATTACTTTTCCCTGTCTCATTCAGTCCGAGTACTATAGCTTATGCTACTATAGTTACCTAAAGATTAACCATCTATATCTGTTGATCCCTCCCTCTCAATAATGGGCTCATTCTCTCACCACTCTTTCCCTTTTCTGACTTTACACAGACATGTGAGATCTCATACTTCCCTACAGCTTCAACCACACCCTATGTACTTGCTATATTCTTTTGTCCCTCAGAAATGCATGATTGATAGCCTAAAGTCACTGCCTGCTTGATATTCCAAAGGATATATCAAGCTCTACTCATCAAAATCGGAATTTATTTTCCCCTTCTATATTAATCATCTTATTTAATGACAACCTCTTATTCACTCAAGCCTAGAAATCAGGGACCATTTTATACTCCCTACTAGAGGCCCGGTGCACAAAATTTGTGCACTGGGGGTGGGTCCCTCAGCCTGGAATGTACCCTTTCACAGCCTGGGAGCTCTTGAGGTATGTCTGACTGCCAGCTTAGGTTGGCCTCAGCCATCATTTCGGACAACCTTAGCACTGATGCGGAGGCAGGAGAGACTCCAACTACTGCCACTGTATTCGCCACTGTCCTCGCCAGCCATGAGTGGGCTTCTGTCTGAGTGGCACTCCCCCTGTGGAAGTGCACTGACCACCAGGTGGAAGCTTCTGCTTTGAGTGTCGGCCCCCGGGTGGTCAGTTAGTGTCATAGCAACCAGTCATTCTGCCCTTTGATCAATTTGCATATTAACCTTTTATTATATAGGATACTCTTTATCTCTCACATACAATGTGAGAGCAACATGTATTTATAGTTCCTGGGAAGTATCTAGGGTGACCTCTTTAATATTCACATCAGATCATGTCATCATGTCCAACTTTAAGTCTCTTAAAGGCTTCATAACTGACGAATAATATATCTCTCACTGTCTTCAAACCACAGTGGTCTTTTACCTGTTTCTGGAACACATGAGGTTCATTCCTTCATGGTCCTTTCATTCTTGCCTATGCAGCACTGTTGCTATTACTTAAGTGTTTGCTCCTGTGATCCTCAAATGTCCCTATACCTGGTACCCTGGGTGCTCAGTTAATATTAGCTCGATATGAGCTGTCTGACTGTTACAGGAATCCATCCATATATTGTAGATTCATACCACCAGAGAACTTATCTTCTTGAAGGCTTAAAATAATCCAATAAAAGTTATATAGTCTGCAATTTAAATAAAGACAACTTGTGACCAGTAATAGTAGCAGACCTAATTTTACCTTACTTGTGTTGTTAAACACAAACAGCAGACCAAGGCCATAGAGATAAGGTTCGGTATATATAAAGATGTGATCCAAGTAGTTCTGTGAGTAGGAACTGAATGCCCCTGTTCCTGACACAGTGTCTCTGGGCTGTTCTATGATAAAGAAGAAACATCCTGCCGATTGGTTTGGCTCAGTGGATAGAGCGTCGGCTTGGGGACTGAAGGGTCCCGGGTTCGATTCCAGTCAAGGGCATGTACCTTGGCTGCAGGCATATCCCCAGTAGGGGGTGTGCAAGAGGCAGCTGATCGATGACTCTCTCTCATCGATGTTTCTAGCTCTCTCTCTCTCTCCCTTCCTCTTTGTACAAACTCAATAAAATATATATATTTTTTTTTAAAAAAAAGAAGAAGAAACATCCTGTTTGGAATAGGTAAATGAAATTTGTAAGTTGAGCCATGCTGTCATAATTCTCTTTCCTCTACTTTCTTGTTTCTGTTGAAGTCTGGGTTTTTAACTCATTAATAGCATAGTGCCAATGCCAATTAAGAACAGAGGCAAAAATAATTTATACCAAAAACGTTATATTTAAATCATGTGTATTCTTCTGAATCAACATATTGAGGGCATGCCAATTTTATTCAGTGTTCAACCACATCAGAAAAATTTAGAATCCAAGTCATTCTTACTCACAATCCAATGTGATTCTGACTAATACTTTTTGCCTGGAAAAGCTACCTTTTCATAGCATTTACATTTCTTAGGCTTTGATTTTTTTCTGTTTCTTTAAATTTGTTTTTAATCAGAAGCAGAAATTTCAATATGACATGCACATGAGATGTTACATGACATTTGGGGGCTAATAAGGAGCAGGAAGTAATAAAAAGTTACTGATACTCATGAGGGTATTTTTATAAGTCTGTAGACACTTTGGTACAGATGTTTCAAGAATGATATCTAAGGACTGCCTCTCTATTCAGTCATAAGCTATGGAGGCTTTTTCCTCCTGTCATAAAGTATTAGTTTGGTTGTTAATCAGGTTCTTAGAATCAAATTGGAATGATAGCAGAGAAGGTAGGAGTTTTAGTATCCAAAACCCCCTTATGATTAAAATGATGAAAGTAAAACTAGCATCATTGGCCTTGAGAAATATAAAATACTAGAGGCCCAGTGCATGAAATTCATTCACAGGGAGTGGGTCCCTCAGCATGACCTGCACCCTCTCCAATCTGGGAGCCCTCAGGGGATCCCTCTCCAATCTGGGAGCCGTGATGGCTTAGGCCCACTCCCCATGTTTCTCTGCTCTCTGTTAGGCCTGGCCGCTCTGTACATGCTGACCAGAGGCTCTCTGTGGCCCAGAGGCCCTTTGCAGCTGGGGCAGCATGCTTGCCATGTTACCATGGTGACAAAGCAAGCATTCTGCCAGGCCACTCATGCTGCCTGTTCTCGGGGGCTGCCCCCCCAGGACTGGGGGACTCTGGCAGGGCTGAGGGGACTGGGCACTGACTTCTTATGGCTATGGGCAGTTAATTTGCATATTACCCTTTTATTATAAAGGATGATATTCTGGGACTATTGGGATTTATAATATGAAAGCCCTAAAAATCTTTTCACAGGTGGTAATTCAGAAATGTGCTCCTTATAAAGTTGGTAGCAATACTATTCTTCATTTCCTTATCAGTTTAGGTAGTAAAAATGTTCATAATTATATGTCAATATCATATCCTAATTGGAGATTACTTTTATAGATAAGAAAGCTAAGGTTCATAGAGGTTACATGTCTTCCTCAATAGCACACACCTGTAATTGTAGCAGGGTGCAAAGGTATTGCAAATGCTTTCAGTAAAACTTCAGAAAACAACTATAATTAATTTACATAAAGTCATGTTTGCGCTCAGAGTAATTAAATTAGGAAATTTCCTTAAAATTTAAGTATTTTACAGTTTTTCTTAACAGTGATTTTCTTTCCACAGCCACTACATAGAATTTCAACATTGTAACAGGTCCTTGGAGTGCTCATTGAACACACACACACACACACACACACACACACACACACACCCGATGTGCTAGTTAATCACTTTAAAAATAAATTCCTTTTATTATTTTGGACTTTAGTTTTCTCACATTAAGTAAAGCAGGTCAGCAGGTCAAAAAAGTTCAGGTTTGTGTTGTTTTTTTTCTTTTCATTTTCCAGTCTCTGACAATTAAAAACTCATAAAGTTTATATAAAATGTCTCTTCTGTGCTAAAAAGAGTTTTGGAAGAAACCTCATGCTGTGGATTTTGGCTACCATTCTTGATTTTATCTCTGATGAAAATTCAGGTAAGGCATTTTGCATTTCAGGTTGTCCTATAACATTAAGTTGTGGCTATTTCATTAGGAAAGTGGTAAGTTTTTATTTCAGCAGTTTATTAACCTATTATTTTAGTTTAAACTTTGAAGTTTTACCAGTTGGTAAAGATAAGAGAAGACTAAGGGAACAGCAATCCTCCAGATTAATGACTTTCTGGAAAAGGCATGAATCATATGTCCCAATTAGTCACTGCTCAGCACACTTCCAGAAGCGTGCCTTTCGAGCTATTTCCAAAAGTGTTGAAGAATCCATGTGTTTACATTGGACTTTGTTATGAACAAAGAAAATACTATTCATTTATTTTCAAAATGCACATGGCACGTTCTGTTCTTCAAGCCAGTTGTCCAGACAAAAGGGCTCCACTTCAAATTGGAAATGGGTTTTATTACCACCAAGACCAGTGTCAGATTTTTCAGACATAAACAAAAGAGATGTCAGGCTGTGTTAAAACATCTGGGGATATGCTACTCAGGAGTCATACACATTCAATTGTACTAATGCTGTCACTTGTTCATAAATGGCAATCCCCCAAATACATATCATAGAATGTGATCAAATGGTTTCTTAAACAAGAAGGAAGACATGCAAAATAATTTTCCAGTCCATTTACAAATGCAGTTAAATCTAGAAGTGAAGGTAAGCACCGTTTTAGAATAAATATGATTCTTACCATCTGAGATTGACTCCTAGGACATCCATTGATATCTTCAACTTTTTCATTTGCTAAAGTAAAGAAATAAAATGAAAAAGAGAAAGAAAAGAATGATGCTTAAGCAATGAATTGAAACACAAATGACTAAAAACAAAACACTAAAACAAAACAACAACAAAACAAAATACCAAGCAAAATGCTGCTGCTACATTCACTCTATCTCCCAAGCAGAGTACAAGAGGACACACTTGTTAGCAGCCGACAATTCCATATGCACAAGGCAAAAGAAAAAAAAAAGGGAGGGGGGTGTGAGAAGGAAGTCGCTGCTAATTCTTTAGTCCGTGCCAAATGACTGCTGACATGAAACCTTTCACAATTGTCCCCGCTGGGTCAGGATACAGTTTCAAGGAATCTCCGAGTGCGTAAGTTGCTCCAGCTAATGAAATGCACACATGGGAGACATATGGTTTAATGAAGCATTCATTTCTGACAACTCAGTGTATGTATGATACAGTTCTAACCATTCAAAAGTGTGGCCACACTGCCTTTTTCAAACATTGCCACAAAAACATTTCCATTGAAATCATGGGAGAGCTGCGTTAGTCTCAGACACATGGACCAAGTTTGTATGCATTTTACTTAAACTGTGTTTCTCCAAAAGGAGTGGAGCAGCACCAATTGGGTTTTCTCTCTCGGGGCAGGGCTTACCTATGATCTGGATGATCTCGGCTAGCAGCACTCCGTCCGCAATGTCTTGTTGCAAATCCTTGATCAGCCTCTTGTGGCCCGATTTTGCCAAGTAGTGGTTGGCCCAGTCCGTGTAAATCTGCGGGACAGAGGGAGGGGAGAAGAAGTGAGGTGGGCGGAGGGAAAGGAGCTAATAAAAACTCCGAAGACAAATGCTGGATTCAAAGGGAAGCTATTCTGAATCACATTCCAGTTTACGAAGTCATGGCTCAAAAGGAAATAGTTGTAAAAAATTTTAAACAGCTCTTTCCTCCACTTATCTCTTGTTTCAAAGGGAGATGATTCACTCTTTCAAAACCAGGGGCTAGTCACTTGTGACACAGCAAAACTCCCTTCCCAGATGACTCCTGTTTGCAAATCCCTTTGGGATTTCACTCTCTTCCCCCTGGTTCTATCAGATGGTAAATAAACTGTCTAGCCTTGTAGAAGGACACCACCTGGACTGATTTCTACAGAAACCCTACTAAAAAAATGTGTTTCTCTGAGAAGACTTCATTACATTTGTCACATATGATACTATATGTGTCAATGATTTTGGCATCATTTTAGGAATAAATTGCAAATCCCTAAGATATTTTATTCAAACTGTTATCTCCCTTTTCAGCCTCTTGAAATGAGTTTATATAAGAGAAGGGAGGAAGCAAATGCAATAATTACATAGAAATTACAATACAGAATTGAGGACACTGGCCATTTGGCACAGTAAAAGTGACTCCAGTAACAGATCATGATAGAAGAAAAAGTTGAAACTGGCCCAAAGTTTCACAAAAATAAAATGTGAAAAATAAAATGTTACCAGTGTTTCAAATGGAATGGGCCCCCTACTTATGTAATGTAACCTAACAGAAAGGATAAAAATGTTCAGTCTTTTCAGTTTTAATTAAAACAGTATTCTGAAAATGTATTAGACTGGAAAGGTTGAGTTGTAGCTTAAATCATAAGCACTGAATACCAACCAGACTGTAAAAAAGCACTCTTTTATATCTAACAAAACCAAACATAGTTTTTACAAAAATAAAATGAATCAAAAGTGAAAGTCTTCCCACAACTTGCAATCCCACCCAATTTGTAATAATTTGGCATGAATAGTTGTAGAAGATTTTTCTAGAACTTTACACTTTATATAACACCATGTTACACACACACACTAGGATTTTAGGCTAAAGCTGGCTCGAATTTTATATACCATTTTAATAAAACTTTTAAACCCATATCCCTTATATTTTTCCATATATTTATCTCATTATCTTTGATTTTCTATTATACATATCAATCCCCCTGTTGAAGGATGTTTAATTTGTTTAAATATATTTTCATTGCAACTAAAGTTGTAAGACACCTTTACATACATATCTTTGCACACTCATATGCTTGTGTTCTTACCTAAAAGTAGAGCTGGTAAGGTTTTGTGTGTGTGTGTATGTGTGTGTTTTAATGGATCCTATATATAAATATTCAAAAATAAAAAATACAACCCAGAAGATAGAATATTTCATTATTTTACAAAATATAAAGTTGCATCTTATTGTATAAGTAGTAGTGATTACATTTTCTGGAAGATATAAATAATTGGAAGTAGCCATTTGCATAGGAAAAAACATGACAGCAAAATTACATCTCCTTCCTTATGTTCATGATCTTTGATGAAAATATTCAAGTGTGAGAAAAGTAAGTTGCATAATTGTCTTTGGAATTAGAAAACAAGCACATGACTTCTAGATGGTGATCATTTTTCTCAATAAAATTTTTATTCTAAAAATTTTATTATAAGATTTTATTTTTATAAGGATTTATAAATTTAGGACCTAAAACATTGACACATTTCCCTCATCTATACATCAAACAAAATATAGCATTAATTGTTTGGCCTTCTAGTAGAAATTTCAGGTTGACCCAATATTTTTAAAATAGTTTTAAATTGAATTTATTGGGTGACATTGGTTAATGTCACCCAATTATAATTATATAGGTTTCAGGTGTACAATTCTAGACTATATCCATCTGTATACTGTATTATGTGTTCACCACCCCAAGTCAAGTCTCCTTCCATCACCATTTATTTCTCCTAAACCCTCTTCTACCTCCTCCACCCCCCTCTCTCTCCGGTAATCACCATGCTGTTACAGGTTGTCCCTGTCTTGATCTGTGCCTATATAGCAGTGAGTTATAAGAACAATGTGAGTGACTTTAAAGATAAAGAAGGTAAGTTCTGGAGTCAGGCAGACCTGGCTCTGAGGTAAGCAGATTCCTCATTTATAAAATAAAAATATCATTTTACATTACAGGATTGTTTCAGAACTAAGATAGCACTTATAAAGTACATGTCACAGAGTCAGCCCTGAAGAAATGTCTATTATCATCATTAATATGGCATCTGGTGTTTGCTATGATAGTTTTCCAACAATGTTAAAGGTATCATTTGGCAGAGGGTTAAAAATTAAAGCAGACTGGTAAAAGAAGATGAAAGAAATTGTACTGCTCACTCCGACATTACTTATACCTCTGACTCTTCCTGACCTCTGATGCCCTGGGTCCACAGATCTATCCACCCTCCAACCCAGAGGAACATATCTGATTGTAAGGTGTCATGTTTTCATGCAGATCTGCAATGCCTCCATTGGGACATCACTCCATAAAACTCCATATTTCATAGATTTTTCTTTTATGAAGGCATTACATTACGGAAAATTTTTATCTAAATAGATACAGAATGAAATATATTAAAAATGAAAACAAGAAGCCAGGCTGGTGTTGCTCAGCAGTTGAGCATCAATCTATAAACCAGGAGAACATGGTTTGATTCTTGGTCAGAGCAAATGCCCAAGTTGCTGCCTCCATCTCCAGTCAGGGGCATGCAGGAGGCAACCGACCAATGATTGTCTCTCACCACTGATGTTTTTATTCATCTCCCCACTCTCCCTTCCTCTCTCTGAAATCAATAAAAACATTTTTAAAAAGTGAAAACAAGAATATTTGCATTTGCCAAATGCATGCCAACAGTACCTTATCCTTTATCTAAATCCCTCCCAGGACTGAGTTGAGAAAACCAATAGTAAGCCAGCAGCTAAGCTTCAAGACCTTATTGGGAAAGTCTATAATTTGGCTCATGAAACAATTTTTCATGGACTAGGAATCCTATGCTTAAGAGCTTTGACTTGTAGAAGGAAGTCACCTGATTTCTACAGAAACCCTACTATAAAAATATATGTTTCTCTGAGAAGACTTTAACATGTGAAGTTTTGCTCAGACAGTAGCTCTGACTTTAGCTGCAATAAAAAAAAAAAATCAATTCGGACTACATAAATGAATTTAAAAGAAAATTCTATTAAAAACTAAGTCTTATGCATGTTATTTTACTTATTCTTTCTAATAGACATATGCAAAAGATACCTAAGACCCTTTAAGTATATCAGTGCCTTTCAAAAAGATGTTATAATCTAGGTAAGGAACTCTCTTATATAAAAGGCCTGTGGCTGTCACACTGTAACACCACCATGATCAAATGAGCAGCAACTCTTGCAGAAGGTGGGGTGGGGCGCAAACTTCTAGCAGCAGAGAGCAACTAGCAGCAGAGATCTATGAGCAGCAATGGGTGGGCAGCCAGCAAGCAAGTGGAAGCAAGCTATTTGCTCATGAGTTCATGTGCTCTGGGCCTACAATAAAAAACTAAGAAAATGGCCGAAACAAGTTTGTCTCAGTGGTAGAGCTTCAGTCTGCGGACTGAAAGGTCCCGTGTTTGATTCCGGTCAAGGGTATGTACCTTGGTTGCGGGCACATCCCCGGTAGTGGGTGTGCAGGAGGCAGCTGGTCGATGTTTCTCTCCCATCGACGTTTCTAGCTCTCTATCTCTCTCCCGTCCTCTCTGTAAAAAAATCAATAAAATATATATATATTTTTAAAAACTTAGAAAATGTATATGTAAAATATTATATGAATATTTTTCTATCTTTTAAAAATAAAAACAGTAGAGATATAAGGTGTGTCTTTAATGAGCAGTCTTCAGCAAAGGACACATAGACTATCAATGTATTTAAAACTCATAGGTAAACTTATTGTAATATTCTGATGAGAGCAGATGAAAACCACCTAGTCAACTGTCATTCGAATCTGTTAAAAAAAAAAATACAACAGAATGATGAAATTATGTCTGGATTTTGGATCTGAACTCCAAAGTTGTCCATGGTTCATTTTCACAAAAAAATATTAGTGAATCTTTTGGTGTATAGGACATCCCACACTTTTCCAACACAAAATTAAGAAACCAATATCTACACTAATAGAAGAGAAAGATGCAAATTGACTGTACCTTCACGACACCCACCAGCCAATCAGGAGTGAGTCTGCAAATCAACCCAACAAAGATGTCAGGTATGGTCATGAAGACAACACAGGCATTCTGCACCGCCCCAGCCACTCCAGGCCTCTGGGCAGCATGGGAAGGCAGAAAGGTGGCTCTGGGCCAGAGTAAAGGTGAAAAGGTGGCTCTGGCCAGACCAAAGGCAGTGCCAGCAACCAAAGGAAGGAAGACCCATTCTTGCACAATCTTTGTGCATCGGGCCTCTAGTCTATATATAAAAGGCTAATATGCCAAGTGTCTTTCCCACTGTTTGACCAGTCACTATGAGGTGCACTACCCACCAGGGGGCAGACGTTCAAAGCAGAAGCTGCTGTATTGTACACAGAGAAACAGTACCATGGACCTGGTACCCACAAAGCAACACTTGGCTTCCCCCAAGTGGGACACAGGCTCTGCCATCACCCCAGAGTGACAGCTCACCAAATTGCAGCCTATGCTGCCATGGCACAAGATGCAGCCCACAGCCCAGCCCAGCCCAGAAAGGGTAGCCGTGGACACTGGGTAATTACATAATGTTTTTGTTGACATTCTGAAGCTGAAATTATTGAAAGAATAAGTCTGAAGACCAACTATTGCCACAACATACCTCTGAAGCCAAAGAATGTGATGTACTCGTCAGAATATTTCTGAAGAATAGTCATCAACAAGTACTACTGATATTGGTAGGAAATGCCTTCATAATGAAAATGAGGTAAATGAGGATGCAGCTATCAGAACACAGT